TGACGTAAGTGACACAAGTGGGGAATCATGAATGGAAAAGGCTAAAGGTTGGTCCTAGGGGGGGTTACCATATATATATATATATGTCTGTAGTCCCCTATTTCCTACGGAACCATTAATAAAGATATTACATTCCGTTATTCCCTACTAAGAACCAGTTAGAGACTATATTCCCCTTACTCCCTACTAAGAACCAACAAGAAAATCTCACATCTGCTTCGCGGTTTGGCCAAACCCAGGATATGACCAAAAGTGTTGATCGACTCGGCCAGCTGCATAAATCAGAGAACCCTCATATACCTAAACCCTAAACCTTTTTAGCGGTCCCCATCACAACGATTATAGTATATTGGGGTCTATATTAGGTCCCCTTGTTAGATTTGGAAACTACCACACGGATTATGCCTGTGACCCTACTAGGCCAGCGATGAGGTAGCAAACTTCCTCCAATCTCTCAGGGGTCCCAGTATAACCCCAGCACGACCCTAATATAAGCCCAATATAACCCCAACATAACCCTGACATAACCCCAGTATAACCCCCCAATAACATCACCCCAATATAACCCACTATACCCCCAATATAACCCTAATATAACCCTCCCAAACGAAAAGTTGGCCCCATTCCCGCCGCGCCTGAGAAGAAGCCTGGTTCACCTTGAAGATTCGCACACAGGAAAGGACCCTTTTGAGCCGAAAGCTGCGTTCGGGTTGAGGGTTTAGGATTTCGGGTTTAGGGTTTAGGGCTTAGGGTTTAGGGTTTAGGACTTAGGATTTAGGGTTTAGGCTTAAGGGTTGCTCGACAAGCAAGGATACTGCTGATGCTAATCCTGCACAACCTCAGTATATAATTCTACCAGAATTGCCCAGATTTAAGGTACTTAGGGTCATGCACACATCCACCGTGTTATGTCAAGGTGAGGTGTTTTCGAATTTACTTCGGGTTTAGGGCTTCTGAAATATTGCGGTTGCCTTTTCAAGGGTCCATGAGTGGTAGTCCATTCAGGGAGGCCCATAAACTATCCAAAATGGTTCATGGAAGACATCCCTGCAATGCCCTTGGGTACACTCATGGGTTCACCCCTAAGCCCTAAACCCTAAACCTTAAACCCTAAAGCCTAAATAGTGGTTTCCAATTTTTTCCATTATCCCAATTTGGCCCCTATATAACCCCAATATACATAGTGAGGAACTTCCAAAACCGCATGGGGATTGTGCACTACTTCTGCGGGTGCGATGTAGAGACTACGTGGGATTCGGATGAGGATAAGGCATAAGCTGTATAGCAATGTTACCTGGATTTGGCGCAGAAGCTATGCAATCCCAAGCCTCTTCCAGTTCCTCAAAGGTGTCATCCACCGTGCGCAAGGTTTGTGCGTTTTTGGCCTGCCAGCTTCGGACCCTGAAACTCTCGCTATCTCTCGCTACTACCGCACTCATGCGCTAAAGCAGTGCTGCGCAACTTGAAAGCCCAAACATCGAGCATGACTCGTGATATGGACACTCCATTTGCAACCGCATTCTGTCTCAACTCAGTGTCACATATCCGCCCAGCACCAGTCATGCTCCTTCCTATCTTTCGAGCTCCCCCATCAACGGCAGGGTATTCTGCACAAGCACCCCGCGCCTGTGCCAGCATCAAAGTCTGCTCCAATTTCGAAGCTTCCTCCTTGAGTCATCACGCGACTTGCTGAAAGATGCTGAAAGTAGGATCTGAAAAAGTTCAAAAAGCAGTGCCATGGGAGCGGAGTGCCAGGAAGCATGCCATGTCCAGCCTCGCTTTCTCTGAAACGTGTGGTAGTTTCCCAGGATAGGGAAAAGATCCCAATATACTCTGATCCTAGTCCTAGTTACAGGGACTCGTTTAAAAAGTACCCCTAATTTGGGGGAACCCCAAACCCTAAATGTCCTTATAGACTTATCGACCCCTATCTATCCCGTATAACCCCTTTAAGAAGGTACCCCTATCCCTAAGTCTGGTTATCACCTAAGAAAACCTAAACCCTGCTGGTGGTGCCAGAGGCCTCGGAGAGGTCCCCACTGCTGGCGAGATTCTCTGCCTGCATGTGGCTGCTTCCGCCCGGTTTAAGGGGGTTTGGGATTTAGGATTTCGGGTTTAGGGCTGTATACCTTTTTTTGAGGAAGATGGATAAAAATGCACAACTGTACCGACTTTGTTTATTAAGGAAGGCCGTACACTTCAATAAACTACTTTGTATACATCCTCCAAGGGGCTTGGGGTTAGAGAAGAGCCCACAAGACCGTGGACCGTAAAACCCATCCATGCGCACCTCTCAACCCGACCTTCATGCCCCTTCCCATTATGCCCACAGCTATACCCCCCCCGGGCTCCGCATTTCCCCCTGCTTAAAATATCTAAAACGAATTTAGGCTACAAGGAAATCAGGTGGCCGAAAGGTGCACTCACCGGATGAAAGGTGCTCGAAGCATGCTGCGCCATGGCCTTAGCGTCCAGACCGCCCATGGCCATGATAGTCCTTGAATGTACCTCTCGCAAGCAAGGAAACTGTAGCCTCCTTAGACCTAGAATAGAAAAATGCTTTTGTAATTCCTTAGGATTATACTACTGTAATCGTTAGTAAAAAATGCTAAGGAGACTACAGGAAAACTCTGCTTCTGAATGATGACATGTCCGCAAGAATCCTACACACCACAGTGCCGCTCAGGAGGAGAAACCCTAAACCTTAAACCCTAAACCCTAAACCTCAAACCCTAAACCCTAAACCTGAAACCCTAAACCTCCTAAATCCAAGATAGCACCACATCTCATGCTAGAAGCCCTCTTTCGGGTGAGCTCCGTCCTCCTGCGCTTTGAGGAGAGAAACTTCAAGCTCCTGGTGGTCAGGGACTGCAGGAGGGACCCCTAAATAGGGTTTAGGGTTTAGGGTTTAGGGTTTCCCTAAATTACTGTTCCCAAAATGGGGGAAATTTATATAGGGCCGCGTATTATAATGGGAACCCAAACATAGGACCCCGTATTATAGGGAATTTAGACCAATCCCCAAATAGGGACCCTCAATCCCAGTGCCATATATGACCCTGATATTTTCAGTATATAACCCGCATATTCCTGAGTAGTTCCCATTTTTGCCTCCATAAGCTTCAAGGGTCCTTATCAGGGTTTGCTCCTAAAGTGCTTAGGGGCGGGAATGTTGCGCAGGCTTTAAGGCTTCTTGGCATTGGGTTCCAGCATCACCACGGGACTTGCATGATGTCACGAACAACATGATCTTTGGATAAGGTTACAGAAGCCATAACACAAGGAGATTTCTCACAATCAAGGTTCTCTTTTTTCGCCAACGATTTCGAGAAACAAAAAACATCAGAAGTGGAGCTGCCAGCCTCGCGCTCATCAGCAAGCTTCAAGGCTTCTGCTTCCGCTTCCTTCCTGGCGTGTGCAGTGGGACTTGGAAAGTGTGCCTTTGTGGCGGGCTTCAAGTTTACCTGCGTCCCACCTTAATCTTGCTTCTTCTTGCAGAGTTTGATCCTTCTTTTCCAGCTCCGCTTCAGTTTTCTCAAGCTCCTGGGCAGAAGGTGGACGGTACGATTTACTGTCTCACCATTTTTCTGACAAGCGTTGCACAGATGGATGTGTAACTGTGCACGCAACCCCATTCAGCAGGAAGCAATTGAGATTGTACTCCTCAATATTTCCCGTGCCCCCTGGATACTAAAGTCCCCAAATCCAAAACCCTAGATAGTAGCTTCCATGTTAATTTTCCATTATCCCAGTAACCCTAATCCCTAAACCCTAATCCCTAAACCCTAAACCCTCAACCCTAACCCCCAATATACTTCCCGCCGTAACATCTGTTGAGCCTCCTCGAGCTCGTTTACGTACCTCGCCCGGAGAGGTGGGGGGGTTGACATTTTCACCTAGGCCCCTGGACAAAGTTCAGAAAAGTACAAAATAGCATATTATAGTATACTACAGTATATTATAGTATACTCTAATATATTGTACTATAATATACTATAGTATATTACATTATATTGTGGCATATTATAGTATATTACAGTATATAATAATATATTATACTATAATATACCATAATATACTATAATATATTATAGCATATTATAGTATATTATGGTATATTAAATATATTATAGTATATTATAATATATTATAGTACATTATAGTATTCATCTGGGGATGCAACTCGGTATGCTACGAGGGGTTCTTGGGTGGATCTATGTTTTGGATCCTCCAGCGCCCTGGCTCTTGCTACAACTGTTGTTCTAGTGTGAGCGTTGCGATCGTGCTGCTTTGTTAGGTTTTGCTGTTTTCGCTTTTCTTGATGGCGTTGCATCTGCCATTGTAGTAGTCGGGTACTCTTCCTTTTTCTGCTATCTTGCTTGGATCCTACTGTCTGTTCAATCTTTTGAACATGCTGCAAGCTGCAATCTCTTCAGCGCGGTTGGTGCGGTTTGCAACAATGCTGGCTGCTGCAGCGGTCAGGCAGCAATGAGAATTCTGGTTTGAAGTACATGCCTTGTGCTAAGACTAATCAAACCCTCCTAAACCCTAAATCCTTAATCAACCTCCCTGCAATGTCCAAAGCGCACCTCTCGAAGCTCTTGATCACTGCTGTGTACTTCTGGACCTTATCATTGACGATGGCCTGTATCTGCTCCACAGTGGCGATGTATTGGTTGTTGCCTCAGGACCACATCCTCATGGCCAGGAGCAAAATCCTCCAACGCTAATATAGGAGTTATATAGGGATGCTACACCAACGATGGAGAATCAAAAAGAAAGAAAATGGAAAATTAAATGGAAAATTAAATGGAAACTGGGTGTCGAAAATGCTTGAAAAGAAATTGCTACAGAATGCGAATCTGCCTTGCCGTGAAGGAACTTCAATTAAGTTTCTATATTGGGAAAACCAAATTAGTTACTATGTATACCCATTATGGTAACTTAATTCAAGCTCCTCAACAGCAACCTAGGAATACAACCCCTGTCTCCTACGCCACGGCAAGCACTCTTCCAAGCTTCCGGCCCACTGGCTGAAGTGCCCCCACGTCAAGGCCGGAGACAACCTGGCCAACCTGTTAAGTCGGGTAAAGAAGTTTCGAGTTTACGGTTTGGGGGTGAGGGTGTACGGTTTAGGATGTAGGCGGCTTGAGGTTTCGGGTGTAGGGTTTAGGATTTAGGTTCTAAGGGTTTAGGTTTCAGGGCTTAGGACTTCCGATTTAGGGCTTTCCTCCTGCCGGGTTGGAAGGTACCGGTTACGTGGAAAGCTGGGAGTTTCCGGTTGAGTGAGGCGTTTGTTTGTCCTTCCATTCTGCAAACAAAACCCTAAACCTTAAACCCGAAAAGTTTGCTGCATTGTTCCTGGCCTCCACATTTCCTGTCCCTCCAGTCGCCAGCGCCTGGCTCAGTCAGAAATGCAAGACTACTCAGGCCACTGGGAGGATCTAGAAAGTAGCTCCCCTTTAAGGATTCCTAACAATTACGCTCGAAGAGCATAGGGTACCATAAGGAAGGCTCTACTTTCTCGACCTTCCAACCCCTCCATGCTCTTTAACTAAAGGGGAACTTCTCCAGAACCCTGAACCCTAAACCCTAGACCATAGACTTAAACCCTAAACCCAGATCCCCATGTTGCCAACATCTTCCAGGACACACTTCCCAAAAACAAGACACCAATCCCTCAGCCGGACCCTCCCCGAACGGGTTTAGGGTTTAGGGGTTTAGGGTTTAGGGTTTAGGGGTTTAGGGCTTAGGGTTTAGGGCTTAGGGTTCAGGGTTACCCCTTAGTCCCTTAGTCCAGAGTAGCCTGAGAAGTGGCTGCAGGCTGCTGGTCTTGTTGCACCTGCTGGTCTTGCTGCACCTGCAGATTTGATGCTGTTAATGGGTTTAGGGTTCGGAATGTATAAGGGCCAGTATCTGTGGCACGGTGTATACTGAAAATCCTGCATGACCCCAAGTACCTGAAACGTGCGAATTGTAGTAGTCTGAGGTACTGCAGGATTTTTAGTATCAACAGTAGGGCCTTCATGTACAAGGTGTGGAGACTCAAAACCCCTGCACGACTCCAATTACCCGCAACCTCCCCGTGGTGCGACTTCGGGTTGAAATTGCTTGCGCGACAGTAGCTACCGGAACGGTAGCTCTGCTTTTGACCTAAACCCTAAACCTCAAACCCTAAACCCTGAACCCTGACCCTAAACCCCTGAACCCTGAACCGCCTAAA